GCAGTAACATCTTGGGGAAAAGACCTGAAATCAGGTTTCCCTTGCTATCTGAAAATAGAGTGTTCCTAAGAAATCTCTCATAAGGAATTTCCATGAATTTACGTAGTACAATTGTTAAACACTGCCATACTCAAAAAAATAACCTACCAAATCATATCAAATAACACAAAAACCCTAAAGCACTAACATATAGTAAAAATAGGAATTCTATGATAAGCAGTCTGTATGAAGTAGTTCCCAGGGAAGGAACTTGGCAGTGGGTACCGCTCTTGCTGCTTGCAGGGTGTGTTGCCTCTATAACAGCTGCTATAAAACAAACACTGAATGTTATTTGCATTTTTTGCCCTTTGTCTCAAAAGCAAAAATTTCAGTTATCAAAATCAGGTCATAATGTGGTCTTACACAAAAACAAAATGGCGTAACTCAAACTTTCAAAAATCGGGGTGTAGGGTAAATGAATTAATCAGGACTTTTACACCACTAGTCTCTGTGGCTATCATCTGTGACCTTGACTGTGTTAATGCAGAAGGTGCTTGGGAATGAGTGCACAGGACACACATGCCTGCTTGTGGCCACCTGGAGTACAGGTGCATATACATGTGTTAAGTGTGAGCCTAGAGGTTGGGATAAAAGGGGAGGACAAGCAGTGTGACTACAGAAAAGGCAAGGCAATGTGAGAGAGTGCCAGAGAGAGCCCAGAGAAAGAGTGTAAAGATTGGGGGAGGGGAAGCCGGGAGGCTCTATTTCCTGCCTGCTTGCCTGCCAACCTCCCTGCCCTCCTTGCCTGGTGTGCCTGAGTATCTAGTTCCCTGAAAGAGCATTAAATTCTGTGTAATCCACTGAAGGCTCCAAGACTCTCATCCATCTGCCCTAATTGATAGTGAACCTGCCCTGTGCTTGCTGGCACAAGAAGGGGATACACATATATATGGGTGGTACAACATTCCTCAAAATGATACAAGGAAGACCAGATGTCTCTTCTAGTTTTAAATTCACATCATGGGGGCCTCCCTGGTGGCACAAGGGGTTAAGTGTCAGCACTATGTGGCTGTTGGCAGCCACTGTAGCACAAGTTGGATCCCCAGCCAGGGAGGTGACCCATATGGCACAGCAGACCTCTCCTGTCTCGCCCACTGCTCCCCTCAGCAGTGTATTTCAGTAGATCTGCCTGTTCTGCTCCCCACTCTATCTCTGGTGAATCCTCTCACTGCCCCACCCCCTGCCGCACCTCTGGCCTGTACCCCAGCTCTTGTGTGCATATATAAATAAATTCACATCATGGGGTGAGTTCAAGACTTGAACAACACAAGGTCCCAGGGGCAATCAGATCACCATAAACTCTGCAGAGAATGTTACTCTCCATGAGCCAGGAGATTTGACTCACCTGTTATCCTTGTTGCTTACCCAGCCCCAGAATAGGACTTGGCTCAATAGATATCTGATGAATGAATGTATAGACTGCATTGAATGAATACGAATGAATGTACACATGCCAAATTACAGCTAATGTTTCTCCTTCAGGGGATCTCATCCAAAGTAAAAGCAGAGGGAATTTGCCCAGCCAGCATTTCCTGATTTCCTCTCTCTGAACATTATTTGAACTCATGGGAAGAGAAGTTGAAAGGGTGGATGTGAATTACTTTTCTCCTATTCTTGAAAATCGTTACAGGGCCTTCAAGGGTAGGTGCCAATCAAATCAAAATAATAATAGGTTCCATGTTTACCTGAAGGGGATATTAGAAACAGCCTGTGTTTATACCAACAAGGTGACTGGCAACAGTGTAGGCATCCTACTGCAATTTAAGTATCCACATCTCTGGGCTTTATCCCTCGAATGCTGGGAGGGCAATACTCAAAGTCCTTTCCACTCTCTCCCCATTTTTAGAGTAGTTATGACTCCATTACTCTTTCCTACTTCTTCTGCCCTCCCACTAATATGCCCACAGATGTTTGCTACTTTTATTACCAAACCCCTTGCAAAATTTATTCTTGCTTTGCACTATCCAGAAATCTCAACTTTGCCGATCCCCTCCAACCCTACTCACTTATCAAGAAAATATTTAAAGGTGACATCCAAAACCAAGCCTCACTTTTCATTTAATAAAACCCAATAATTACCCTGTTCCCTTAAGTCAGACACTCCTGCTAATCTGATACAAACCATCCAAAATTAGCACTTTCCTTCCCCCTCAAAGCCAGCGGTATTCAGTGACTCACCCCTGCCATGCCCGGTCCTTTCAGCCCACAGGGTCTGTGCTGTCAACCTTGTCATGACACTCCCTCGTTTTGTAAGCCACTCTTCTCCCAAACTGATGACCCTTCTTCACTTCAGTTGTGTCTAATCTGAGCAATATCGCGCGTGGTTTATTTGCCATCACCGAAGGCAGCAGAAGTTGCCCAGATTCCTGACATAATGGGGGAATCGAAAAATTGTTCTTTATCTCTACACTGGTTGAAGGAATCACACTTACACTTGGGTGTCCAACCCACAAATACAAATTCCATTCTCATGGGAAATTGTACTTAATACAGAAATTATACTGAATTTTAATGAGTCTTTGATGATTCAGAAAGCATTGCAGGAATACTGCAATACTTATGACTCATAATTATGAATATCAGTGATCACTGAATTGTAGGTTTTGAAAAGGCCACTGATGGATGCCTCAGATTTGCTTCTGCTCAGTGGCTTCCTGGTGTTGGATAGGTGTAGCAAACCCCTGGGTATACGTGGCTCCAGGGAGCCCTAATTGGTTTCTTAGTGTTCAGCCCTCTGAGATGATACCACCCATTCAAAGCCTATTTAAGTTCCTACCAGTACCTGTTTGAACTTTCAAATTTTTGGTTCTGACTTTAACAGTTGCATGTGCTCTTTTCCTTGCGTGCCTCACCACGTAGAAGGGGTTCCAGCCTCCCAGGCTCCAACTTTCGGTATTAATTTTGTCGACCCCCTCACTTCCAAAGGTCAATTGTAGCAAATGGAGAACATTTCAGAGCATCTTTCTTTCAACTTATCTGATCTGTTAGGTTATAATGCACAAAGTTAGGTTATAAAGCATGATTAAGTTTTAAAATTATTTTCAGTGTCCTATTTTTTTTTTAATGACAAGAAAGAATTGTAGCCAAACCCATCCCATGTCAAGTTGGTATACACGCAAAAACAGATATGCCCCACCTCCTTCCATCACCTCACTCCCCAATTTGGGTGTTTGGGGAAGGAGAAAGTATCCTCTTACTGATAGTGGATCCCCAACTTTATTCAAGATTTGGTTAATTTGAAGGCACAGTGGAGAAAGATGGGACTGTGCAGACTAGGAACCAACCTCAGCTCTGCTAATGACTAAAGTTCTCAGTTTTCCTATCTATACTCTGGCTTCCTCTTTTGGTTTAAAATGGGTGTGGTGGGCCTCCCTGGTGGCACAGTGGTTGAGCGCTGGGTTGCGAAGCTGCCTCAGCCTCTGCAGCGCCAGTTTGATCCCTGGCCACTGGGTGAGGGTCCCACATGGCACGCAGACCTCTCCTGCCGCCCGCTGCTCCCCTCAGCAGTGTACTTCGTCAGTCTGCCTGTTCTGCTCCCTGCTCTGGCTCTGGTGGATTCTCTCACCCTCCCGCGCTTCTGACTGTACCCAGTGCTTGTATAAATAAATAATCTTTAAAAAAAATAAAATAAAGTAAAATGGGTGTGTTAGTACTTGCCCGTAAGCATGTAAGGAGAATCAGATGTTAACCTGACAAAATGCTTTCTAGAAAACAAGTCATCAAAATATGTGTTGGAATTAGTTGCTCCCTTTTCTGAAAAGAGGTACATTATTTTAAAAATAACCAAGCACCTTGACATTAAGATGTTTTCACCAGAAGTCTTCGAATTTTCTTGATGTGCTCATTTCAGCAGACTTAAAAACCAATTTCTCATCTGGTTAAAATATTAAATTTACTGATATTTAATGTTATTCAGCAAGACAACAACACATTTTTATTGAAAACATGCACAAAATAAAGACCTCTTCTTTTTGAGAATAGGATAAACAGTGACACATGATGAAAGATAGTTAAGCTTTGAAATTCTTTCAGATAATCTGGAATGAAATGTCAGTTTTCTCTATTCTGAGCTTTCTTGTGGCAGAACAAACGGGATTGTAAAAAGTTCAAAGTCTCTTTCTCAGCTGCTGCAGGCTTTACACTCCGCAGGTTGCCATATTTGTTTGCACGATGGAAAGCAGAAGCTGTGATCAACATCAAACATGAGTCTGTCTGTCTTTTGTTCCTTCCATTTCTTGAAATATCTAATCTCAAGGTTCTCAAAAATCTTTTAATCCAAGATCCTTTCTAGCAACAATTACAGAGATTGCTCACTTTGTGAGTCTTCCAAATGGTTATAATAGTACTTAAAAGCAAGGATATCTTTGAAAATAACATTTGAAGAAGGGAGGATGTAAATGGAATTAGGCAATCCAAATGTTGAGAAATGGGACCAAGTTTGAGAGTTAACTCATTCAAATTATTCAAAATCGCATGTATTTCAAGCTGAATTTGTAACAAGCTAATTCTTTTTTTTTTAAAGATTTGTTTATTTATGCATACAAGAGCTGGGGTACAGGCCAGAGATGTGGGTGGTGAGAGGATTCACCAGAGACAGAGTGGGGAACAGAACAGGCAGATTGACCGAAGTACACTGCTGAGGGGAGCAGTGGGCAAGGCAGGAGAGATCTGCCGTGCCATGTGGGTAGCTCCCTGGCCAGCCGGGGATCGAACTTGTGCTGCAGAGGCTGTGGATTGCTTCATAGTACGGTGCTTAACCCCTTGTGCCACCAGGGAGGCCCTGTAACAAGCTAATTCTTATGAAACTACAATATGCTTGAAAAATGTGAAACAGTGAAGAATGACAAATACCCAAACCTAAGTCCTTCTCCCTATTCCCCCAGCCCCATTCCTCAGAAAACCACTGAACAATGTCTTATGTTTTCCTTTTCGCTCTCTCCCCCCCCCCCCCTATTCTTCTAGACAACTTCACTGCATACACTGGCACATACTTCCTTAAAACACACATATGGAATTACAATATACTGTCCTTTCTATAACATGACAATACGCATAGCTGGTGTATAGAAGCAAGTGTAGTAGACTTATGAAGTGAGGTCTATTTTCTCCAGCACTGCCAATTTGCTACCTTCATGAGACACTAAAGAGAACTTCTAATTTGAAATATTGAGGATGGGTATGGAAGGTGCTAGGGTTTTGATGACCCAGTCTCCTGAGCAAAAGATCATCATGGGGGTCCCTCTAATCACATAAACTTTATGGAATGAATTACATGGTAGGGGGCCTCCCTGGTGACCTAGGTGTTAAGTCTCAGCATTATCACAGCTACACCGAGTTCCATCTCTATCCAGGAGCTAATCCACATATGGCACAGCAGACCTCTCCTGTCTTGCCCCTCTGTGCCCCTCAGCAGCATATTTCAGTAAATCCGCTTGTTTGGCTCTCCACTCTGTCTCTGGTGAATCCTCTTAGCTCCTGTACCTCTGGCCTACACCCTAGTACTTCTATGCAAATAACAAACAAACAAAAAACTATGTGGTAGGCACTGAGGTGAGGTTCTAGGTTCTGAACCCAGAACGAGGCATGGTCCATGCCCTATTGGAGTTTTCAGTCTGCTCTCCCTACAACCTCTATCTTCCGGAGGATCTGCTCATCAACTCATTCAAGCTAACCTTTATCAAGCACCTATATGAGCTATCAGGTACAATATTAGACATGATAAATACAAAGATGAACGAGATTCTAAACCCACCCTAAGGGTTACAATCAAACAGGGAAATAGATTATCCTGGTACAATGAGAGCAGTGTGAAATATACATGGTTTTATAACAACAAGAAGAGGGGTCACTTCACTTGGTTTTGGGGAGCACTGGGAAACTTTCTTGTCGCCCATGGGCAGAGTTGGGGTGGGGTATTTTCAGGTGAGGGGACAATGTAAGCAGATATATCCACAGGCATGTAGGGAAACCACAGCAGTTTGGAGCTTCTGGGGCATATGAGACAGGATCAGAACGTGGAAGCTTTGCACACTTCTGAGGAGTTTGGCTATATCCCAGGTTACGGAAGACACTGATTTTAGGCAGCAGGATTAGGGTAAGGTTCAGAAGCTCACTCCCATAGTTGTAGGAGGCCAGGAAACCCACCCAGCAGACTTCATTCTGAAAAGATACGATGACCATGTAAATCCAGCAGGGGCGGAAGAGATGGACTGAAGAGATACTTAGTTATCATCAGGTAATATCAGGTTAAATATCAGGGAAGTTTGAGTAAAAGGGAGTAGCTAGGACAACCCAGGTTTCAAATGTTGGTGGTTGGTAGATAGATGCCCAATGTCCCTGGAAATTAGGCTAAAAGATATTTTTAGAATTTTTTTGTACTGTTTGCAACTCTTTACCTTTCCCCTCAACATAAAGTCTTTTTCTATCTTAAACATTCCTTCATTCTAACTTCTCCAATCTTCTTTACAGAACCAACAAAAGATCCTCATCTTCCATTCAATCTCAACTACTGCAGTCTGCCAATGACCCCACGATCCTTCTGAGATGGCTCCAGTGAGGATTCTATGAGAAGCGCACTTGGCAGCCACATCCCAGCACTGGACTCCCCTGGCCAGGCCATGAAACTTGGCATTCCCTGACACTGCTTCTCTCCTGGCCTCCTTTCTCTCATTGGCTCCTATTCTACTAATCCCTATACCTACAATCAAGTTTCATCTTGGATTCCCTTCTCTTCCTATTCTCCATAAGCAATCTCACCTCCTCCTATGACCTGATCTCCAGTTCCACATGGAAGCTCCCAATTCTAATGCCAAACATTCCCCCCATATTCCAAAGTCACATATACAACTGTCCACAATCATGTCAAATTTCTCCAAAATTCATCTCTTCTCCCTTTCTATATTCTCTGCCTTAGCAAATGATGCCACCATCCACTCATTCACCAAAGCCTTATATCTGGGAGCCATGCGTGGCTCTAGCCCGGCCTTTGCATTGCTGTTCACTCTGGCCAAAACATCCTTCCTGTCTTTAAGAAATATACGATACATAGGAAACATTACTTACAAAGTCACCAGCCAAGATTTTCATTTACTATTCCATTTCGCTTTTATTTTAATATTTCATTTGTATATTAACATATTTAATATGTATAAAACTCGGTTATTTATTGGTTATAAGGCATAATGTAGTGAGGAACCCATAAACCTACTGTGGTTTATGAGCCTAGAACCTGAACTTGAATGTGCATCTACCTATGTGTCTATTCCTCTACAATTTACTCTCTCTCCCTCTCAGGAATAATACTGGGCTAAATTTGGGTTTATCATTTTTTTAATAATAATTTTGCTGTTTATGTATGCTTAGACAACATATTCTTTGGTTTTGCTTTTTTCTGAGATCAATAAAAAAATAGTACATCCTATATGACCTGCCAGAACTTGCTTTTCCTCTTAATATTTTCAGAGATTCATTCTTATTGTCAGGGAGAGCTATCATTGTCATTTTTCACTACTGATTAAAATACCTTAAACACTAAGTATAATGAATTTACTTATCCATTCCTTATAGACAGATGGACATTTCAATTTTCCCAGTTACTATTACAAACATGTTACTTTGAATATTCTGGTATATGCTTCCTGGCATACGTGTGCAAGACTTTATTGGATACATGGCTGGGATCAGAGTTGTTTTATTTATATATATTTATATTTATAAACACACACATATATAAGATACACAATGTTCATTGTTGTGAGGTGTAATTGTTTTCTAAAGCATGGGTGCCTGGTTACCCAATGTATGGGTTCTTAAAGATCTTCTTTAGCAGCTGGTACTGTCAGACGCCTTAATTTTTGCAAATTTTATGGATATAAAAGGGAATCTTTTTATGGTCTTGATGCATATCTTCCTCTTCTCCAATGCTGTGGAACATCTTTCTATTTATAAATTTCACGTATCTTCTTTTCTGTGAAATGACTAAGTGTTTTTTATTTTTCTATTGAGTTTTTTAAAAATAAGAATTATCTGTATATTCTGTTTACTAATTCCTTGGCAGTCCATTGTGCTGTAAGTATTTCAGGTCAAAGCTACTTGTTTATTAACTTAACATGTTGTTGGTTCTCATACAATTGCTCTAATCATATTTTCTTTGATGATTAGTGCTTTGTGTCTCAAAGAGTGTCTTTCCTACCCTGCGGTTTATTTTTTCATGCAAACATTTAAATATTCACTTTTTGTATAAGGCCTTAATATACTTGTAATTGTACCACATCACAAAGGTGAACAAATGCATGGGTTATTTTCCAGGCTCTTTATTTTCTCGAACTACTCAGCATGCCTAGCTCTGCACCACATACAACACAACATTTAAACAAAACTTACTATCTTGTAAGCCTCCTCAACCTCTTCTTCATATTTAGTAACATTTAGCCACAATTGTCCTTTGCTATTCCACATAAATTTCAACATCTGCTTGTCACATTTTACAAAACTTCTGTTGCATATTCTGTTGGAAACGGCATTGAATCCATAGGGCAATTTAGAGAGATTTGATAGCTTTACAACCTTTAATATTTCTATTCATGAACATAGTTCATTTGTTTCCACCTTGCTTTTTCATATTCATCCTTCAAATTCCAAATCAGGTCATATCCTAACCATTGCCTTCCCTAACCATCTTTATCATCATCCATCTCAAGTAGAAAAAGTATGTCTTTTATGGGCATGTCTTTTGGGTAACTGCAATAGTCTTAGAAAAAGAGAGTATGTCGCTTCAGTAGTGGCACCATTCTTCGTTATTGAATAAATCATGAATTTGTGAGGAATACGATTGGGATATACTGGGTCTGAGATACCAGTATATCCTCCTAGAGGCAGCTGTTGGATACATGCTCTGCTTTTTAGGACACAGGAGTTTGGGTGGAGAAGCCTGGGGATCCAGATTCATTAAGCTTGACCATTGAAACTAAACACACTAGGACAGCCTCTGACATCAGGATTTAAATGGGGTGTGGAAAATAAAACTGAAAATTGTGAGAGTATATCAGAAACATTGAAGAGTAAAATCAAGGGGAATCAGGGGAAAGAGTGTTCTGAGGAAGTGGTTGGTATCATCCAAACCCACAGAGAAGAAAAACCACCAGAGAGGCCACTGGATCTAGGAATCTAGGGGTCATTAATGACAGAGATGAGTTAAAAAAAAAAACATCCCCCCAACAAAAAACACCTACCTTCACTGAGTTAAGGAGAGAATGGGAAGAGAGGGTGGTTGGCATAAGGCACTCAAATATTTGTAGAGGGTATGCCTAAGTAAAATAGAAAAAAGGTCAGCTATTATCTGAATTCAGTTGCAAAAGGAGTAAGGGCAATCACAGAGTATCTGGAAAAAGAAAGGGTGTTATTAAAGCTGATTTCAACCATCATCCCACAAACTAGCTTCCTCAGTACAGACAGCAGAGCAAGTAGCAGAGCGGGGAATATTTCAAACAAGCACTTTCGTTTGTTCGGTTTTTTTTGAGGGAAAAATAATGTGGAATCTTTAAAAGAAATGATGAGAGTGAGTCAAGGGCAGAGTCACAGATGTCAGTGATGAGGATTGGGCGGACAGGCACACAAGGACACAGCAAAGAGCTGAGGCTCAGAGCAGTCACCACCTGCCTCTGAGGTCCCCAGACACAAAATAAGGAAGAGGGTTTCAAGTCATAGTTTATATTCTTTAATGAACATATAGACACTCCAATTTGTGTTTTTGTCTTTAGGAAAAAAGGCATCCATCATGGGGTTGGATCAATAATATATTAAAGGAAGCCGTTCCATCACATAACCAATTGAGAGATGAGAAATGATAAATATTAAGGGAAATCAGAAGACTCCTAGAAACTACACTTCAGGTAAGAGACATTAAAATATCTGAAGGAGGTGATTCTTTCTCAAATAATAGACCTGCTAAGTATCAGAAAATAAGTCCTCCAAAGAAGTGTTTTAGGAAACAGTCCCATCTGTAATCTAGCACAAATTTAATGTACCTAAAAAAAGCACACAGCTCTCTTCACTTTCTGGGCAAGAGATGCCTAGAAAGCTATGTTCCTCTGCAAGCAAATATATATATTCTACAGGTATGCAGGAGTATCATTTCCTAAGTTTCCTCCCTCGCCCCCACCCCTTTCCTTTCCTCCCATGTACCTGCTTTGGGGTCACATCAGCTTACTACACATGAAGTAAGGGAGCACCAACGCAGCCTGTGACACAGAAAGCAGCTCCTTTTTCCCAGACACAGTTTAAATGGGGTTCAAGCCCCAAAAGGGTGCCTAGCTGGTTCAATCCCATCATTACCATATGCATTTCTCCAGTATCTTTTCACTTCCATGTGTCTCTATTCCGTCTTCATGAGTACCTACTACGTGCAGAGCTCAAGCAGTTACTGTTCATTAGGCACTGTATGCCAGATCTCACATTATCTGCCTTATGTGCATCATTTTGTTTAATCCACACCTCATACCCATAAGACAGGAGCTAACATCACTGTTTTTTTATTTTTACAGATGAGAAAAATAGCTCTGGAAAGCTTCAGTAACATGCCTATGCTGCACAGCAAGTTCGTGGCCAAGTTGAAATCTGACTCCAGTTATGTCTGACTTCAAGGCTTATGTTTCTAATCATTTTATCTAAAATACTTGAAATGAGAACCAGTGATTATGCTACTCCTAAATTGTAGGAGTTGGGTTAGTATAGAAAAGGATAAATTGGGTGGAATTATGCTGATCACCTGTCCAGCTGTATCCCAAGGCTCAGCCAAGTACCTGCTCAATTCTGGAAGGCAATTAAAAGATGTTAATGACCCTTAACAGACATTCTCCTTCCCAAACTCCTCGTTTTCTCTTTAGGGAGAGGGAATCAAAATTATGAGAGGACAAAAATACTTAGAGAACATTACTGTATTTAACCACACTAAGGCACACAGCTTGATATTTCTCACAAGCCGGTGGTAAGAGCAAGTCTTTTGCCACAGGGACTTGTGCAACCATTTAATCAAGTCTTTAGAAAATGAGGTCTTCCAGAGAGAGAGCAGTTATACTTTCTTCCCTGTCAGAATCTACTGTTGCAACTGTTTAGATTAAAATGCCCATATCTGATGGCGTTATTTTGCCACAGGTCACGTTTCTTTATTCAATGGAGCTTCAGGCTTTTTGTGAGGCAGAGAGGAAAGAGAGAGAGAGGGCGAGAGAAGCCTCCTAGATCCAAGGTAAAAATGGAAAAAAAGGAAATAGATTTGCTTTGAAATGCAAATGACCTCTATCTCTACTTCGTCCTCTTCATATAATAGGAACCAGGGACACCGCTACTGTTCTTGCTGCTCAACATTCAAAGTTCCCTGAAAAACAGCTGCCTGCTCTCCAGGAACCCCAAGACGACCCTGCTTCCTCTGTATAGTTCCGCCAAACAGTCCTCGAAAACCTGAAGCAGGGCAAATATTATTCAGCTGTAGACACACTTGTTGCTCTTATTTTTAAGGCACTCTGGATAATATTTCCTTGAGACTCATCATGTATAGAAAAGGTATTAGGAAGCAAAAAGCTAGTCCGTATCATATCCCAAAATGGGTCCAAGCCATCTCTCAGCCTCGGCCACAGACATGTTCTTCCTCAAAGCGTAATCCTCAATCTGCAAAAGATTAAAAGTGGCTTTTGAAACAAAATGATTAAAACTTTTTTGAGCTTTAATTTGAGCTGAAATTTCTATAGAATTTGCCTAGAAGACATTAAGTTATCTTCCATTTTTTGCCTTAATGGCAATCTAGCAAATTAAATGGAGATAAATATTTATTGATTCACCAAGTTGTTTTATTCTTATTCTCTGAGCAAAGAAACAACATGTAGTAATGCCTAGTGCTTAGAATCTGGCTGGGATATAAGTGTGTGTGGTCTGTGTAGGAATGGGAGGACTAGAATTGGGGCGATAGGTTGAAATGAGATTAAAACTTTAGGGTAAATTTATTCTTTTACTCTCATTTTATTCTCACTCACATTAGAAGTAAAATAAAGTTCTATCTTTACAACAAGATAGGCATCTAGGGAAGACATAGATAACATAACAGATAACTTACCTGATCCTTGGAAATTTTCCCCACAGCAAAATATCTGGACTTCAAATTGGAGAAGTATAGACCAGATACTGCAGAAGCAGGTGCCATTGCTAAGGATTCTGTTAACCTAATGCCTAGAGAGAGCAACATAAGGGGAATCTTATTTACCTGTGCCTCGCATAGGGCCTGCCAGTTGGTAGGCACCCAATAAAGTCTTGTTGACCAAGTGAATGAAAGTGGATCTAGTTTCATGACATGGCATAAAAGCTATGACCAGGTTTATCTACCAGTTGTTGCCAGGGGGATGAACAAATTCAGGAACAAATTCTAACCCAGGGGGCAGATTTACCCCCAGCCTACCAAGATCAGTTACAGAGGTCCCATTTGTTCCCAAGCCTGGGCCTTCTGTGACATGGAGCTCCAACCCTAGAGAGGAGAGCACCATCTAATAGTTCATGGAGGGCTGCTGTGGGGCAAACGCCACTAGGAATGAGCAAATGTCAGGCTCCAATGAAGAATAAGCCCAACACAGTACTTACAACGAAAAGATACTTTTTCTCAGGAGTTCAGAACCCAAGGGGCACATCAGGCTGTGTAGTCTGAGCCATTCATTTTATACACAAGGAAAGAGAACAGCACAAAGGTTAAATGCTTTGCTGAAGGTCACCCAGATAGCTTAAGACAGACACAGGGCTCAAATCCACAGCTCGTGACTCCTCGAGTCTGTGTTATTCCTGATAACTCAGATTCAACATGGCTTCACAGTCCTCATTTAAATCTAGATTCCTTCACTTAATCGGCATTGATGGCACACTTCTGATTAATTCCACTAAAAACTGTCAACTTAGTCTGGGTCAACTGAACTACATGAATTTTGCAGTGAGGACTAGAATTAGCATTATGGACATGATAAGGCAGAGCCAGAACCATGACTGATTCTGCTCTGGGCAAAGTAGTGGAGGCTGGGTGCCCATGCCTTCTGTCTCAGAAGGACACATGCCAACTTCTGATGTTCAACTATTAGCATCAACGCATAGAGAAAACATGAGAGAATTATGATGACAGAAAATGTTAATAACAGTGTAAAAGTAAAGAGAGAATAAAGCTGAAAGGGAAGGGTGGTCTGCAAGACTAGTGTTCAGAGAGACTTTCTGGAAGCAATGGAAGGATAAAGTGACTGAAGGCTACAAAGGTCACTCAAAAAGAGGTTAAAGAGCAAAGCATCTGTAACAAGAAAATGGCTCAGGAGAGGTTACGGGACAGTAGGAATAAGCAGTTACAGGTTAACAGAGAATAAAAAGATTCTAAAAGTGGTGCTAGAAGACCATTTTTCAACAATATGGAGGTAAATCCTGGGATAAATAGAAGGTAGAAAAGATGGGATTAAGGATGATTTCATTATTTTTACGATTTCTGCAGTTTTACCTTTTTACCCAAAGGTGCTATTTCTTTGATACAAGTGTATGTATTCAATGAGGCACCACAGGTACTCACCAGCTCCTGGCACATACCTGTGCACTGCTCAATGTCAGCGAGTCTCCACATGGTGAGCTTCTCTGTGTGGTCGGGCTGGCTGGGGTAGCCGGGGGCCGGGCGGATACCCTCGTAGCGCAGCCTGCGCAGGTCAGCTAGGCCCAGCTGCTCGCTGCTGCAGTAGGCCCACAGCTCTCTGCGCACCCTTTCATGGAGCTCCTCCGCAAAGGCCTAGGAGCCCAGAACAGGCATGCTTCTTAGGCAGAGGAAAGCACCCTCAGCAGCAGTGCCCCACCAGCCCCTAAAGCAAAGCCACATAGGGCACCTCCTTTACCAGACCAGAGTCAGGGAAAACTTGACAAGAGGGAACAGGCAAGATTCTCGGCTCCTTGGTAGTTTATCATTAGCTGCCTTGCTGCTCAATTTTGACCTCACCTGCGTTCTGAAGTAGTAGTGAGTGAACCGAGAATTCTGGGCCTTCGAATTAGAATGTAAACATTCCCCCTCAGTCAGTTTTGTTTATGGAAGCTGAAACCATTTCAGCCACTGGTTCTTTCTACTGTTAGCCTCAGGAAAAGGAGAGAGGACCTGCCCATGGCCTAGGTTACCCCAGTCCACATATAAGGAAGATGAGCAATCTATATGTGATTGGAAGGAGGAACTCAGAAATACATATTTGGGTTTTTTTTTTTTTTTTTTCATTTTTCAGATTCTTCAGGAAAATGTTACATTGCTATAAGCACAGGGAAACATCAAAAACTAAAGCAAACAGGTGAAGGTTTGAAGGGCAATTACCAGCTATGGCATTGCTAAAAGTTTCTCTTTACCTAAAAGATGATGTGTAGGAGGGGCCTCCCTGGTGACACAGGGGTTAAAGTCTCAGCTCTATCAATCCATTTCAGCCATTGCGGCCTGAGTTGGAGCCCCGGCCAGGGAGCTACCCACATGGCATAAGCAGTCCTCTCCTGCCTCACCTGCTGCTCCCATCAGCAGTGTATTTCAGTCTGCCTGCCCATTCTGCTCCCCACTCTGTCTCTGGTGAATCCTCTTACCTCCTGCACCTCTAGCCTACACCCCAGTTCTTATATACATAAATAAATAAAACTACATCTTTAAAAAAAAAGATGATGTGTAGAAGCAGTCTGAGAACACATTATTTAAAACTACGTGTGGTTTTAAAGCCAGCCTCATCTGACATGGAAAAAAAATATTAAGGGCTGCTTAGCATTTTGGCACCCAATATAGGCTGCCCCAACCCTGGATTCTGTCCTCAGGGCACGGCTCTACCTCGGCCAGCCGGTCCCCCAGAGCCTTGACCATGATGCTGCTGTAGTCGTCACACTCCTTCTCATAGGCTTGGCTCAGCTCTTCCACTCCAAAGCAGGCAACGGCAAACAGGCCCAGGTAGTCAGGGATGCCCGAATGCAGAGGAGCAATGAAGTCCGAGAGGCAGTGGTATGGCTCTGTGCTGGCAGAATCCTTCTCAGCCTGAAAAATCCAAGGAGTGGGCAGAAGGACATGGAGCATGGACGTGGCAGGAACACACAGTGGATAGCAGTCAAGCGACTTCAAATGAATATTGGGATGTCTGTCTCTTTTGGTCAGTTACATCCTAGCACTTAGTGCCTCTTACATAGTAAGTAGTCAATAATAGTTGTTGAATAAGCAAGTAAAATTAGATCTTTTAAAAATATAATATATTTAAAAATATACGATGTGAAGAGACATATGCAGTCAAAAAATCAATTAATTTGCTCATTCACACACTCACCCAACATTCACTGAATGCAGAAGGCACTGTGTTAAGAACTGGAACCCTAAACATTCATATACAAAAATACTTTCCCAACAGTGTTTTCAATTTAAGATCAACACTATATCCTGAAGTTATGTTTGAAAGGCACAAAGCTGTACTTTGCAGCAATAGAAGCAGCTCAACAAACCGCCAGGGCCAGCAACACAGGGGCCCATGCTGCCTGTTGTAGGTGGTAATTCAGGAGACAGCTAAGGACAAACTTGAAACCAGAGAATTCAGCAGGATCTGCTTCTTCATTTGATTCCAAGCAAAATATGCATTCCCTTCACAAGGCCAGGGCCAATCATCACCTATTTTTCATTTTCAGCTCATGCCTGGTTCTTCTCTATTACTAAGCTGACAAGTAAATCCTTATATAGATTTCAAAATCAACCAATATTTGCTAAGGAGGCCAATAGCTAAAAACTAATATTTATTGGGTGCTTATTATATGTCAGGTGGTACTTGGTAAAAACAAAAAAAAAGGGTACCACTTCTTGGTACTTTAAATTGCTTAACTAATTTAATCCTCTCAACAACCTTAAGTGACACCATTTTCTAGATAAGAAATATGAGACAGAGAGAACGTGATCAGCTAGTTCAATGTCAGACAGTGGCAGGCCCCGGGGTCTGGTACTACAACCAATGCTCTTGACTACTGCATGGCACTGCATAGGCCTGATCAATTAATCAATGAGTGGCTAACACAGAAGCTTCAGAGCTATTTGCTTGCCAGCTCGGAAACAAGTACTGAGCAAGAGCAGCACCGCTTTCCAGTTGAACTCTGCCTGTCAACTCTTCTTCACTAACAAAAGCCAGAGGCAGACACAAAGCTTCGCGGCACACAAGGAGGGACAGGTCACAGAGCCCCACAGTACTTCAGAAGACACAGCATTCGGAGCCACTCAGAACAGAAGACTCTCAGAGCAATAAGTCACTGCAGCCAGAATTTTCCAGACTGTACTGGAAGAAAGCATGCTCTTAGAAATATCTATCTAAGTAACACAGGTACAATGGGAATTCATAATATTAAATGCCCTAATGCAGTCCATCACAAGCTGCCTGGTCATGAATAGTACTGCACATAAAGAGATCAGAGGACACGGGACTCAGATGAAAAACCAGATCTGAGTAGATGTTTTTGACCTTTACTAAGAATAAAAGTCACCAATCTCCAGTACGGAGGGGCTAGGACTAACTTAGAAGCCCACTGCTATAATCTGAGAGGTCTGAACTTGAGAGCACACAGTGGGGATATACTGAGCCTGAGTGTGTACTGTAATGACTATCCGCCCTCCTTTTCTACAAGTACCATGTAAGCAAACCAGTGTTTTTGAACTAGCAAATATTCATCTACATATGACTACCTGAGGCGGCAGCACCTGTCCTACCAATAGCCAACAACTCACTCCTGCTGTCTGCCCAAGACGCCCAGCCTTTAAACCCACCTGACTGCTTTCTCCCCAGCTTACCCCTGCAATAAGTCATTTGGGGTCGGGTACAGCTATAACTTAAAGTTTGGACTTACTTAATTCTTTTTTTATTTTTTGAATGCTGTAACCAAAAGGGAGAAGCTGCACGTTCACTGTCAGTTTACCCCGTACCTGCTGCCTGAGGCCATAAAACGTGGCGATGGGCTCTGTGGCTTGGGGCACGGTGCCCTCTGCATACAGGTGGATATCGTCCTGGACACTCTGCGCCGGCCAGAAGCCCACCACACCCTTGGCTTGGAGTTTCTTTTGACCAATCAGTGCTTTTAGCATATTTTGGGCATCATCATAGACTTTTTTGGCCTCTTCACCTATTGGGGAAAATGTTGTTAAGAATTCACTTAAAGGTGCCAAAAATAGTTAACAACAAGCAGCAAAGAATGCATCTTTTTAAGACTACCCACTACCCTCCTGAGTCACTTTCTCTCTTCACCCCTTTCTCTCCCCTCAAATGCTTTAACAGCGCCTGTCATCAACACAGCTTAAGGGGAAACAGCAAAGGGTTCAGTGGCCCCTGCTAAGTCCAACTCCCATATTGTCTTTCCCCAGCTCAAGTCACTTAAATTTTCCCATTTAGGGTCTTTCTGGTGGTGCAGGGGTTAAAAGCAGCACTATCAAGCTATCGCCAGCCACTGTAGCACGAGTTTGATCCCTGGCCAGCCAGGGAGCTAACCCACGTGACACAAAAGACCTCTCCTGTCTTGCCTGCTACTCCCCTCAACGGTGTATTTCAGTAGATCTACCTGCTGTTTCCCACTCTCTGGTGAATCCCCTCACGCCCTGCACCTATGGCTTGTACCCCAGTTCTTATATGCATAAATAAAAAATCTTTAGAAAAAAATTTTTTTCCCATTTAGCATAAGGCAGAGAGCCCAATCTGTGGCTCCCAGAAGCAGGCTGTCAGACAGAGTGGAAAAAAAAAAAAAAGTACATTCACCCACTTGCCTTGTGCATGAAACTCCACTGACCTCATAGAGACCTCCAAGGACATGGAGCAGGTTGAGGAATGAAGAGTGGTCACCATCCCCACCAAGAGGCTTCAGGGTTGTACCTGGATGACCTTGGCTTGGTTCCCGTGGGTTCTCACCTACACAGTGGGCACCAGGCTCCTGGGACACCCTCCTTTTGGTTTCTGACAATGTGTCTGTGCACTGAGCCACCCCTCCCAGGGGGAGAGGCCAGCAGGGTCTTCAGTGCTGTCTGCCAAGGGCATGGCCGGTCCAGCAATCCTTTGGCTATGCTACTGCCCATGTGAGATCACTCTAAGCAGTAAGAATGAGAACCTCCTTTCCCATAGGTGCATCACTGGCCAACAGAGGCTGCTGAGTTGCACCATGCTCATCCTCATGAGCATGCGAGGGACCCCCCAACCACCACCCCAGCCCCTGCAAGAAGCTGGTAAGGGCTTGTTTTTTATGCCCTAATAGACCCTAATTTCAGAATTCTCCCAGGCCTCCCCTCCGTCTTGCTCTGACATGGCTATCACATAAACCTTTGAATAGCTTAGCATTTTGATCCCACACCTCTGGGGGTAGATGTTGGGGGAGGGCTAGAAGTAAGAGAAGGAGCTAGCAGTTTCTTGACTCACCTACTGTCTAGCTTTTCACTCAAATCCTGCTCCCCAACACTCCAGGCATAATAAACTCCCTGTGGTTTCCCAAATCAGATGTGTCTATGCCTCTGCTTGGAATGTCCTTTTCTTCAATGTCACCTCCTGTCCCCAGTCTGAGCCTCAACAATCCCACTTAATCTTCAACAAAGCAATTCAGACATGACCTGCTCTGGGAATCCCCCCCTGATCTCTGACTCTAATTCTATCTCATCTTCTTTCTGTGAAGACTAGGATTCACCCAAAAGCAGGAGCTCAGCTTGCTATTTTGGAATCCCCAAACACTGTGGGCCATTCCAGCTTACCAGAAGGTAGGGATTATATTGTCTTCTCTTATTTATTTCTAGTGCCCAACTCAGAGCCCCGCACATAACTGAGGCCAATAAAATTTTATTAACGAATGGATAAATGAAAGCCAAGTTTAGCCATTAAACAAGTACAGACACAGCAGGTTCAAAACCATTAAGCAGGTAAGCAATAATCTCTATTATATTATAATAAACTAAATCCTATATAATTCAAACCCTTCTGCTCACCACCAATTCTCAGCTTCAAAGTCCCAATACCACATCCCAAATATCAGAGCAGGAAGGAAGAACACAGTGAACTAACCTACGGTTTTGTCGTTAAATATCTTGGGAAAGCCTCGATTTGGGTATTTGCCCCGGAGCTGCCAGACATCAAAGAAAGGCTTCCAGTCGATGTAGTCTACCAGCTTCTGCAGGTCATAGTTTTCAAAGACCCGGGTCCCAAGAAATGTGGGTTTCACTAGAGAAAAGAAGCACACATGCCAACGTGAATGTGGGGGGCCCGGTGGCTGACACCCCTCACACATGGCTGCTGCTGCTGCCTACTAGAAGCTTCCTGGCCAGCTCTTGCCTGCTATTGGCTCCCACCCTCTGCCTCCCTCCTGTCACCCACAGGAATTATTTTACACAGAGGGGAACTTTAAATTATCATGGAGAAAGAGAAATTCTGCAGTAAATCTGAGACAAAATATTCTTTCCATGTAATGGACTGGCCTTTGGAAACCCTTCCATCAACCTTGCCACTCTCACCACTGACCAAAAAAAAAAAAGGAAGAGGACTAATCTTCCTTTGTACAAACAAAAGACAATCTAAAACAAAGACTGCTATAGAAAGATATTATTTAGTAAGAATCTTAAAAAGCTTAAAAGCATGAAACAATAGCCTATGTTGTCTGCTGATACAAATGCCCCCAAAGTGTGAGGAAGTTCGTGGAAATGAGGCCTCAAAATCAGGATTGTGCAGTGGAGTGGGGTGCAGACAGGGGCCTTCTATTACAGATGTGGGTTTTTTTTTTTTAATGGGCACTTGGTTATTTCTCAAGTGGGCAGATAAGGAGGTTCAATATATTGTTTTTACACCTTCTTCTATGTCTAAAATGCATCACCAGTTAAGTAATGGGGAGGAGAAAGATGGTGTCAATAGGCTTTCTGAAACCCCCAAGAGCAGTAAGAGACACCCCTTACCCCAAGCCTGCAGTAAGGTGGCCACGGTACAACATGACGCCTCCCCTGCGGGCTTCCTAAGCCTCACTTTCCTGATGTGCAAATCAGAGAACTTCTACTGATCTGACTAGCCTCAGGTGTTCAGGGACAGTATACATGTTTTAAGAGTATTTTTCTCTCATTAGGTAGTAAAAGTGAGCAGTGAAAGTACAGGAAAACAAAAGTATAGGCGGTTTCTTAATTTTGCCTGGAAATCTCTACCTATTCATACATGTTCAAAGTAACTCTTTCTTGTTTGCCCCTGGTCATCTTTTACTATGTAGGACAATCCCATCTCTATAAATATTCTGTTATGTTGATTTGTTTGGGAACTAAAATGAAACTACAGATACCCTTCTGATTCAGGTTTCCCTCATCTGGAAAGGCAACGAAAAATGCCCCGCTGTAGAGTCATTGAAGAATTTATTCTAGAACAAGTTTTTCTTCGGGAGTTTAAGATTTGTTTGAGGTTTTACTACCAAGGATCTTGAAAGAAATATCTTTCTTTCTCTCTTTAGTGACTTCCAGCAATTTCCCTAAGACTGGGTTGCCCTCAGACATTGAAACCCTTGCCAAGGCCTCACTTGAAAACAGTCACTCAAAAAAGTGTTATCACCACTGCCTGGGGCATGGTTGCCCAGAGGACTACATCCTCCAAGTTGTGTTTTGGATGTTTGACTTGGTTAAAATGAACTACCTCTTGTGATAGTTTTCCAATTTCATAGTGAAAGACAAAGAGAAAATAGTTTGGATTCTAAGTGCTTTATATTCTTCAAAGTTTGTCACATATTATCTTATCCTTGTAACATTCCCACATGGTAACTCACTTTACACACAGTAGAAACTGTCAGCCATGGAAGTAAGATGCTCAAGGTCAGTCAGGGGTTCAGAGCCAGGGCCCACTGGGGCTAGAACCCAAGCCTCCTGGACTCATAGCCTGGCATTCTTCCCACTAAACCCAGCAGGGATGAAATTAGAACCAAGCTCACCTACATTTCCAATTTACCCCACTCAAGTCTGCTGAGCATGTGTAGAACACAGGCATCATGAGCAAAGAAAGCTGATTTGAGATATTACCTCAGAAATATGGATTCATTAATGTAACCCCTGTTCACCTATCTTGTTTTTTCACTTTTGTATCTCACGCCTCTCCGAGCCTGTCATAACATCTTGCACATTTCATTCCCTATGGAAGGCAAGAAAGGTGGTTAAAATAAGAAAGGGAAGAAACTAAATGAAGAAACAGAAATAGGAAGCATCCACAGAGAATGAGAGTGAAGAGGAAATGTGGAATACTGGCTGCAGTGGTGTAAGGGTCTGTTCAGTGTGGTCATTTTTAATTTCAGTCATTCCATATCAGTACCTGGGCATGCTGGGACCCAGGCCAACTCAGAGACAGAACTGCCCAGCCAGGGCTCCAGAACTTGCTTCAAGGTAATAGGGGCCCACTCAAGCATAGCAGAGAAATGTGTGCGGGTATAGAAGACAGGGCAGACATAGAATTCTAGTAACCTTTCAGCTATTACCCAAAACTCAATTTCTTCAAATTAAAATAGCCACATCCATCACAAAGTTGTATCAAGGATTCAGAATCGCTATGGGTCCATCTCAGGATAAGTGTTTGGTTCCCATCAATGAAGATTTACTTTTACCTTCAATCATCATCATTTCACACAATAAAGCATTTCTAGCTGCCTGTTTGATTCTGTAGCTAAATAAAGGCAAACATCTCCTCAGATTGCAGTTATCACACACAGTCTATCTCTAACCGATAGCCAAACAGACCTGGGGGAGGCTCTGACAGCCAGTCAATATGGAAACCGCTTTTCCTGGCTTGACTTAAGGTTAAGTATCTTCTCTCCTATGAAAAAAAAAAAAGTTTTGTCAGAAAATCTTAGCTTTTCAGCTGTTACTATGAAAGTATGTCCAAGAAAGTTAGTACACAAGCTTTGCAAGGAAACAGGATCTGTTTCATATCATAAAAAGCTCTTCCTTTTCCATCCAATACAGTTTCACTTTAGTAACAGAACAATAGAGTAAGGATTCAATGAATACCCATTAAGCATGAAAAGAGAGCATGTACCTTTAGAACAAGGAGGTTGGGGCAGCAACACTGGCCTGAGGACAGAGGGGGAACTAAGAAACTGCCACCTGCTGGGAAACCTAAAGAAAGGGGGGTAAGCCCCCAGTGCCCTGGGCTCACCAACAACTTAGATAATGTCTGTTTACTTCATGCCATTTGTTATCTCATCTCACTTGCCAACCCACCCCCAAAATGCACCCCTCCACCATGACAAAACCCAGCAGGTAGATAACCAGGGAGAAATATCCCAATGACTTCTGAAGAGTAATTATGCCAGCTCTCTATAGATTCCCTGGAGGTTTTCTAGAAAGGGACAGTTCTTGAAATATTACTCTGCACAGTCAATGTTGGGCCATCAGGGAGAGAGGCTCCCAATCACTCTGTCTAACGTCTTCATTTTCTTCCACTGTTTGCTCAAGAACAAAGATGTGTGGGAGACATTTCAGTACACTGTTTCAGCTCCTGTTTTTCTGCTGGGCATGAGCTCATGTTTTATTCATTCTCATAACTCTGGTTTCTAGCACAGCACCTAACACCAACTAGGGTACCCAATAAATGTTTGGCAGAATAAATAAAATTAATTTTAATATAACCAAAAATTACGGGGAAATTGGCTAGTGAAGAACTCTGATTTGAACTAGGAAATAGGACTTCCCTAAAATGATCCTAAACCTTACCCTCCTCGAAACAGTAAAGTCTCATTCAAAACTGTAGGATCTTTTCAATACCCAACAAACAGGGAAGCATCTGTTTTTGTCACGTACCTTGAGAGACTCATAATGGTCCTGTCTAATATCTTCATATTCTTCCATGATCTCCTCAAAGTAGTCATCTTTTAAGTTCTCATCTAATAGCTGAGAACACTAAAAATGCAAGATCACAGTTGAATAATTGTGTAGAACAGCAAAAGGAGCTAAGACACTAATCACTGGTGGTGACACCTCCTTTAGAAAGCTTCCCAATGCTAATATCATTTCTTCTCCTTTCACCAGCTTTGCCTGGTTGTACAGTAAAGGGTTAACTTAGTGGGCCTGAGTATTCAAATCTTGCACATTCCAAAGAAAGGAGGGGCCCTGGACAGGCTGTCTGGAGACAAACTCTAAGCCCTTGGAATATCTTGCCTGATAAGAGTGCCCTTGGGTCACACAACATAGTTTATGCTAACAATGTCATTTATGGAGGGGACTTGGCTCATGCCATATCTGTTTGACCTCTGGAGGGGTTGAAGACTGAGTAAAGTCAGTCACAATGCATTCCAGGCCTCCGATGCCAAGACTCGGTGGAATTTTCCTGACTGGCAATACTCCATACCTGTTGTCACACATCACTAGTATTAGAATCATTGTCCATATGACTCTATAGACAGAGGACACCTGGAAGCTCAGCCTGAATTCCACCCTATGCATCTGTTGCCTTTGCTGAGTCTAATCTATATCGTGATAATATAAACTGCAATAGTGAGTATAACAATGTTTCTGTGTTCTGTGAGCCCTTACAGAAAATCACTGAAACTGAGGATGGTCCTAGAGACACACAGTATACTGGTTCCCTCTTTGTTCCTTCAAAGATACTATGTTCACCTCTTCCCCACTGCAGTTACACAGGCTTTTAGTATCTGTCTATATATCTTACTAGAGGATGAGGCCTTGGAAGGCTGGGATTACCAGCCCCCTGTGCATCCCTGATTTCTAGCTAGTGCCTGATACATAAAGGTGCATCTTCACTAAATCTTGGCTGAAGAAATGAAACTAATCTTCATGGTGAAGCATGAGCTTCCATTAAAGTAGGAAAGGATGAGAGGGTAGGAAGCACAGCAACAGTGGTGGAGGAGCAAGGGAGCTTCTGCGGTGGAGTTCTACTGTTATACCAGAGTGGGGGTGACACCAGCGAGGGTGTAAAACAATGGTACTTCAATAACTATCAATAAATTAATTTAAAAAATAAAGTAAGAAAGGAAACTGATAATCTGAGCAATGTGAAGCTACTCAGTAAATTGTAAATTAGGACCTGCTAAATTGTTTGACTGATCATCAAGTTGGTAGACAAGTTTCCACCAAGGCTCAAAACAAAATTGCAAAGAAAGAACATAAGGCTGATAACAATCACATCAGTTCACAAACCACAGCACTGCCCCCTCTCTGCATTCTCCAGCAGGACTTTCTAACACAAAAAAGGCAGAAAGTTCAATATCATCATCTGAAATTGAGGAAGTCAGATTGGATGGATGATGGATAAAGTGCCTACCAGTTTTAAATGTCCGTAATTCTATATGCACTTCAAAGTATGTCTAATAACAAGTCAGTCACCTCTGTTAGTATAAAGCCAAATCACTTTGCTAAGAAATCTAATCAGAAAAGGCCATGTGGGAAGCCTAAAAATAGGATTCCAAAGGTGCTCATACCACAATTCTCAGCCTTACCCAAACCTCATCTCAATGGAGTCCTCATTTAGAGAACTCAATTGGGGTTACATGAAAACAAGAAGATGCATCCTCCTGAGCTCACCAAAATACATGCAAAGAATGCTTTAAAATATTTTTGCATTCTGCTAGACTGAACATGGAAAAAGCAAAATTCAATTTCCTTAAAATCCAAAGAACTTAATGCCTTGACACAGGTACTATTAGGTAAGCAGAATAGACACCAAGGTTTGCTGGCACCTTCCACACTCCCATGGATGCCCTGGCTCCATTACAGGAGTTAACTCTCCCAATACTTCCACTGCCACAAGCATCCTCCATGTGGTTTCATGTCAACTACTTCCAGAGTTTTTTTTTTCTTTTTGATTTTTATTGGCAATAGCAGCACAGCCAGAGGGAATAAGTTGAACAACCATTTTAAAATTTAAAAAGAAGTAAATATTGGCACCTTGTTTTTTATTAAAAAAAAAAAAGCAAGGGGTATCCTCAAGTCTAAATCTCCAACTATTATGAAGTTGTCACATTTTGAAATCTTTCAAATACCTGAGACAGCTAGCCAGTGTTTGAGTCTCTATCATGTTCATTGAACTTTGATTAAGACTCTGAACCAACAATCAACCTAAACAAATTGTACCACTGACTCCTAAGAAGTATCACTAGAAATTACCCAAAGAATTTATCATTGAATACATGTTTCCATAATTTCAAAAGGTGGCCATTTCAGCTGCTGGCTGAACCCCTCTCTCCTTTCTCTGCCTAGCTTTCATCTAGGCTCACACTGCTTTAGCTCTTCACAGTGGGGATGGTCTTCAAAATGGAATGAAGGACCAATTCCTTTCCAGTTAAATCCCACCCCCCATCTGTAGGGGGCACTGTTACCACTGTGTACTCAAATAGATCACAATCTGGTCTCTGAATGGGAAACGTTTAGTTATTCATTAGCATTTGAAAATAGCAACAAATCTTAAAAAGAGGCACATGGTTATTCCACCAGGATAGCTGTGGAATTATCCTAGGATTCTAACATAAACCACCAGGATTCTAACATAAACTCCTTATGAAGCACAATCCAAATATAAGTTACAAAAAAAATTATTTTAAAATTGAAATGTAGGCAGCTGCTCTCCTGCCCGCCTGTGACTATGCAGGTGTTTCTCTTCACCAACCTTCTCCTCCCAAGACTGCTGCCTGTGACTATGCAGGCCTCTCTTTTAACAAATCTGTCCCTTTCAGGGGAAGCTCTTACTGCCAGCTCGTGTCTGTGTAAGCATCCTTTACTTCCCTTCCCTTTTCATAATAAACCTATCCTTTTGAATATTTAAAAAAATTGCAATGTAGAAATATAGTCTATTTGCATGTTAGGCTGTATCAATGGCAATTTAAAATCTCCAATTTTATGATTCCAGTTTATCATTTTAAATAATATCATTTTAAAAATCATTTTAAATAAAAAAGGTTGTAAAAATATGAAAAAATTTTAATGGGAACAATTTCATGTAGCGTAGAGTAAGAACACCTGTATTCACAACCCCTACCAGTCACTTGCAAGGTATATGGCCTCAAAAGAGTTGTTAACCTCTGCATTCCTTTCTCCTCATCTCTAAAATGGCACTAATGAAAGTATCTATTTCATGAGGACTAAATAAAACAATTCACATAAGGCACTTAGCACAGAGCACGGACACTGTCAATTTTTAATAATATTGGCAATTATTACATGATTCTTATAATGAAGTTGTTATAGGACAGGGAGAGGGTCAGCCCAAACCCCGCAAACCTGCCTATTCTAAATGGGTTCTGCCATCTGCCGCATCAACACAAAACATATGAGACTTTAATGGGAAGGAACTTTAATACAATTAGGAAACAATACAGGAAAGGCAAAGAATCTAGTTTCTAAATGAAGCACCCAGAGTTACCCGTCCCCTCGTGGGTAAAACTCTATCCACATGAGATCGGCCCAGAACAAGGCCTCAAATCCTGCCTCAAGTCTAAAGCATCTTCCAGTGGGGACCCACAGAAAAGGGTCAGAAACAACCAGACAAGCCCGAAAGGAAAAAAGCAAAATCAACACCAAGATAAAAGCTGCCATTGTCACCTCCCCGTGGGTCTCACCCACATCTGTGTCACCCAGTCCACAACCAAAAGACAAGCGCAGTTTCTTCACGTGTCTCTAGGCTCCATGTGCCTCCTCCAGGTCTCCTGGCTCTGTCCTGCTCCTTCCTTCCTCAGTCTCTTCTCCAGCTTCTCCTCTTCCTGCTCAGCTCCACCCTCCCTTGGGTGGGGCAGGGAACCTCCCCCTTTCCTGGGGACCACCCTGTTACAATGTCACAGATGTGGAAGAATTCCTTTGGAAGACAGCTCAGGAAGTGGGGTCACTCTAGTTCAGGCTGTGGAGACCACCTGGTCATCCCAAAGATCACCAGCACAGAATGTGGAGACTGGCCTAGATCACTGATTTACCAGTTGTGCTCTTTGGATGAAAATTAAGAGCGGGGTAATATGTGGAAAGGGGTGCTAGGCTCTTGTTTGTGCAAAAACTGAGTTTCCAGGTAAGATACCACTAGAAACCAAGGTTTCTGTGGCTGAAACAAGCTTGGAACCACTGGACCATATGGTCACTGAGGAGAAAAACAGGGAAAAACACAGGAAAGTTCTTCAGTACATTCACTGAGAAAAAGAATCTATTATTACTCAGAGTTTTGAACATCTAGTGAAATTTTTTTTGTCTCTGGATAGGATCAACTGGCCCATTCCCAGGTTAAATGTTTTCCTATCTGGAAATAGGTCTTTTTAAAAAAAGTTCTACATTCCTGCTAGCTCTGGCATGGAATTAAGTGAGTACATGTTCCCTTTTGTAAATGGCTGACATCGCTCTCTCTGGATTGGTGTCAGGGTTAAAGGTGTCAGCATAAATATTTCCTACTCAGAACAGCATGTCTGCTGCTGGCTCAAAAAGGGTCTTTGAGAACACAGGATAGTGGCTCTACTGTCCCCTGTGACTATACAGGTGCCTCTCTTTATCTTTCTCCTTTTCCTAATAAACCTGTCCTTTTGAAATGTAAAAAAGAAGCAGAGGCTACACTGGCCTGGTCCTCCTTCCAGCAATGCAGACACTGCAGTGGCCCTGACATGAGCCTTATGCTGTTCTTCATGGCTTTTTTTTTTTTTCCCCAGTGGAATTAGACAAAAATAAATAGCAGATCTTAGTTAATACCCTTAATGCTCTCTTTGTTCTCGCTTTACAACATATCTGAAATAATCTAATCAGATATGTGAGTAATCACACTTACCACCACCACACTCTTGGATGCATCCAGGACGTGGATTACAGGCGCACTGTATCTTGGAGCTATTTTAACTGCAGTGTGGGTTCTGAAAAGAGGGGTCAAGAAGAAAAACATATCCATCAGTGCTGACAGTTCCAACACAACTCTTGTTCAGAACCATTAGAGATAATGTGTTTCTACAGTGCTTTCCAGAGGAAGATTTCAAGGTACTTACAAATATTGAACTCCAAATTTCCCTGTAAAACAAGAATGACTTTCTCCTCACCCTTAGATGGGGAAGCCAAGGGGCAAAGACACAGACTTGGCCCAGGCTATAAGAAATCTGTGACTAAAGGAGAAAGATGTTGTCCTCGGCTCTCTGCCAATGGGAAGATGAGCCTATGATTGTGCACTCATTAGCGGCCTGTCTGAATGGAATGAGCTAACCCGCAGGGTAGTCACTCGGTGCTGGTATAAGGTCAAGCTGAGCTTCTTCCTCAATGAGCTGGGACACCACTCAGGGCCCCTGCCCAGGGAACCAGTCACCGGGCAGGGGATCCAGAATGCACTCTCAAACTGCTACTCCCTATTCCTGAAAGACACCATAACTTCCTGGCCCAACCCCACCCTGGGGGGAGGAGGGGGTGGCCCTAAATAAATTCAACACAAAATAAAACAGAGAGGCAAAAGCAACAAAAATATTTTACACTAACATTACCTGATCTAAACCTTCCTCACCAAATTTGAAAATGTTGGTACTGAGGAAAAATCATCCCTTAATCCTTGAAATTGCCAAATTAACTGAAGTGCCAAATTGCCCTCTGATAACTGAACGCGTGCAGCAACAGCACAGGCAATTTATGTTACTGCATGTTAGAAGATAACCTATTAAAATGAGACTGGAAAATGCATCTACTCTTCCTTACAGTAATTAAATCAGAGCCCTCAAGATGGAAGATGAGTGTGGACTTTGCCACAATTCCATTTAAGAGTGTGGCAACGGCAGTGCCATAGTACAGGCAGTGCTCTCCAGCTTTTCTCCCCTTTTTTCCCCTGAAGTAGCAGCACTCTTCCCCTCAACTCAAACACGTTCGTATTTGGAAAGATGTCCAGAATGTGCTATTACAAGGAAAAAAAAAAAAAAAACATAGCAGAACAAGATGCTTAATAAAATTCTATTTTTATAAAAACAAACACTACCACCCTCAACCTGTTTCGACCAGCCAACCTGATATGTAAACTTCTGTATATTTTGAAAAAACACAGAGCAAAATACATCAAAGCGCAACACTGGTTATATGGGGGGACTGACAGTGGGGAAGGGAAAGATTAAATTTTGCTTTATATTTTTCTGAATTTTTTGACAACCATGACAGCTAATTTTTTTTAAAAAAGTGAACATTAAAAGTGCAATATACATTTTTAATAGGCTTCTCAGGGAAGGCTCTAAAACCTCATTCTTTTTTTTAAAAAAAAAATATTTTTTTATTTATACCAGAACCGGGTTACAGGCCAGATGCGCGGGAGGGTGAGAGGATTCACCAGAGACAGAGCGGGGAACAGAACAGGCAGACTGATGAAATATACTGCTAAGGGGGCAGCGGGCATGACAGGAGAGGTCTGCTCGCCATATGGGACCCTCGCCGGCCAGCTGGGATCAAACCAGCGCTGCCGAGGCTGACAGCTTCACAGTGGTGCGCTCAACTGCCTGCACCACCAGGGGAGGCCCTAAAACCTCATTCCAATGAGACAGACAAAACCCCACTAACATTTCACCTGTTCCCTTTCTAAGACCATCCTCATGGGAAAAAGAAAAAAAAAAAGGAGGAAAAGGACAAAGGCCATAAGCCACTGGAACTGAGCTGTGTGATGGGAGTTTAGGATCAAGTCTTAGTAAAGAACCATCTTCTGCTGGGAGGTTGGGGTGCAGAGAAGCTGGGGGAGCCAGACCACAGCACTGGAGTAGTCAAGAAAACTCTGCCTCCGGAGGACCTGTCTGTGCCTGCTGTGTGCTTGGGGAAGAAAGATTTGAAAATATCTTGGATATTCTATGAGGAGGAGGACTTTCAAAGAGCAGGAAATAAAAAGAAAAACCTGCTTCCAGTTCAAGATGGAGTACATATCAGACTATGATTACTCTCTCTTTAGATGGTCAGCTCCTCAAGCGCATGAATATACCTCAGTATATATTCTGCATGAAGTTCCATGCAGAATGTATTTTAATGAATAGAGAAAATATTATTTTAAGCTGCTGTGACTCTGATGAGATTTCTCTCAAGGAAAACCAGCACAATTTTAAAATCAACACAATATTTATCAAATATCCATGGGTATGTGATTTTGGCCGCCTTCTCTTTGATGATCTTCTGGACAAAGGCATTGAGAAGAACCTGATGAATCCCACTATTAAAAAACAAATAAAAGCAAAATGCTGCTTTTCAACATAAAAATTAACAAAGCTTGATGAGCACAAGCATGAAGTTTGACCTTGCTCAACCACTGAAAGTGCCTTTGGTTTCCTTGGAAGATAATTTGACAATGATTCCACTTTCCTCTAAGCTTCCATTTATGTAAGCTTCTCCAGCTAGAGTAAGACTTTGTAATGAAGTCTGAAAAGATATAAAACACTGGAATCCCCCCTGTTCTTACATACCAAGAGCAAAGGGCTAGACACTGAAGATGAATACCAAAGTCTCTCTGTTAAGCTCACTTATCAACAATGAGGATTTAATTAGTAACCTCCCTTTCTTGCCAAATGACCATGATATTAACCTTAGAAGATCTTTTTTAACACTCTGAAAAAGAACAAATACTCCAAGCATTTATTTCATGTATTATCCTATCAATTAAAGTGTTTAACTTAAATGTAGCATAACCAAAACATAAAATTTGATGAGAAAAATGGGAGAAAGGGAAAATCAAAGTGGGAAAATTAAGAAGGAATCGGGAGTATGATTAGCATATAAATGTCATTCCATGAAATCCTATACATAGGCCTTAACTCCAAGCTCTCTTACAGTCAATTCAAAGAAGAAAATTGTATCAGTTATGTGATTCAGCACTTTATATCTTAGCAATTAAAAAAAAAAAAAAACCCTTAGAAAATTACCTCCAGTTTGAGCACTATGACTTCCTGTTGAATGTTCTGAGTTACACAAATGATAATTGAAAAAGACATCTTGCAGTTAATAGCTTTAAACTAGTTGAAAATTGAGAGCTTACTGCCAGACTTGAGCCCTTGAGAAATTCTGCAGCCAATGGGACCAGATTTCCATTAAAGTCATTTCTAGTTCTAGTCATTTCTAACATTTGGTAGTTTTGGTCTACCAAAACCATCTGTAACACAGACAGAAGAACATTCTGTTTTTCCATATTATAGTCACAGGTTAAAAAGGACACTCCAAACATATGTCCACCCATAGATGACCCCAATCCTGTCTAGCCCTTTCAATTTCTCGGAGGATCCATCCACTAGGCAGCCTAAGCCACATTTCAAGCGTCCTGGGGGTACAGTTCTAATTCTATCAAGCTACTGCAGGCCCCAGAGGTCTGGAAAATCATGATGCTCTCTCCCCTCAGAGATTTGCCTTAATGACAATTTGGATGTCCTGAGCTGCCATCTGCTCAAATAGTAAAGGAAAGAACTGGGCCACTGCTGAGCCCTCAGGAGGTCTGCAGGAGGTTAGAATAAGGGCTCTCAGAGGGCTTCTGAGAGAGTCCAATTCTTGAATGATTTCTAGCAAAGCTGACTCTACTAGCAGTAGATGGTTGCACTATCCATACAGGAAAAGAGTGAATACGTCTATAAAAATCAAGAACTTTTGTTATGCAAAAATACCACAAGGAGAGCAAAAGACAAGCCATACTGGAAAAAATTAATTTGTAACACATCTTTCTGATAAAGAGCTTATATCCAATATAAATAAGGAATATAAATAAATCAGTAAGAAAAAAGGCAAAATACCCAATTTTAAATAGACATAAAGAGCATATACAAATAAATGGTCACTAGACATATAAAGCTATTCAATAACATTAGTCAGCAGAGAAATAGAAATGAGATCTCTATCAAGTTATTATTACATATACATTAAAATGGATAGAATTTAAAAGCACGTGGAATAAATAGAACTCTCATAATTGCTGGTGGGAGAGCAAAACTCCCCAGCAATAGCTAATTAAGGTGATGCACATTCTATAACTTAGCAATTTTGCTATAGGGTAGAAATACATATATAGCAGCACTCCATGTCATAATCCCAAATTGAGGAAACCCAAAGGTCTACCACAGAAACATGAGTAAATGGGTAAATAAGCAATATTGCATTGCACAAATGGAAAAAGGACAACAACAGAGCTATTGTAACAACTTTGGGCCTCACAGACATAATGTAGAGCAAAATAAACTGGACACAGAAGAATGCATCCAGTAGGATTCCATTTATACAAAATTGAAACACAGGCAGAACTAACCTGTGGTAACAGAAGGCAGAATAATGGTTACTTTTGATGGAAAGGATGACTAGGGTGGGGGAAACCATTAAGTTCCTAGAATGCCATTAGTGTTTTATTTATTAATGTGGAAGTGATTACATAGGTGGGTTCATGTCTATGATAATTCATTGAGTTGTAGATCTAGGATTTGTGACTTTTTCTGTATAGCTGTTATACTCCAGCAAACATGTTTATTTAAATAAGAGGGCTGCTGAAGCCCTCATCCACTCTCACTACTACAGAACAGTCAGAATGGGGGTTGGAGGTTTGCACCAAAGCTCTTGGTGATTTTCCAAAGGCTGCACTAGCAACACAAGGGGACAGTTGCCTGGAAGCACTTCTACTGGTTTTTATTTTTCAAATAATTTCTCAGAAACTACAATAGGCATGGAAGAGAACAGAAGGAGAAAAGACAGAGCTCACTGAGAAACAAAGCACTGGAGAGCTGGATGAAGCCTTGGGAGGTCACAGGACCTAGCTTCCTGTCTTCAGGTAAGAACAGTCATGGTTTCCCAGACAATATGAGTCAATATTTTGCAATAGCATGAAGAGATAGTGGGCTTTCTGATCAGATTAACTCCACCTAGATATGCCAGTAATAACAGTTCAGAGTCACTTGTGGTTAATTTTGCCAATCATGTATTTTGAGAGGCTATTCATGAACTGAATTTTTTTTTAAGACCTCTTTCATCTGGCGGATCTTACTTGGTAAGAGATAGTGGAACGGGATATTTGGTAATGTTCCAATTTGTACAAGTAACGGGTTTCCTGGTCTTGAATTTCTGAGTCCTACCATATAAAATGGTTCTTATTTTAAAACCATCATCACATTTACATAACTCAAAATGCATTTCCTTATACCTGGTCATTTAAACATTTGCTGATTCCGTTTATGCTCATGATTTTGAAAGGTCTTTCATTTTGACAAATAGTCTATAGATTCTCTTACCTTTCTTTTTACTAAGTTAATGAATAGTCGTTACCTAAAACCATGTTCATGAAACCCTACCTATCAATGGTTGGTCTCCAGGTTAGACTGGAGAATAACTTGCCACATATACTAGTGGATAATCCCTTTGTGGAAAAACAAACTCAGTTTTCCAATATAAGCAGCAATAGCCTCACTCTTGAGTCCTTCAAGTATATAAAGCAATTAGTGGATAAATAATAACACATAACATTTTTGACTACTAATGACAATGATTCATTCAGATTATAAATGGGCTGATGATTAATTTTTATCCATTTGGCTAGACCCAGTTATTGGTCAAATATCAATCTAGGTATTTTTTATATGTGGCAAACATTATATGTGGACTGCAAGTAAAGCAGATTGTCCTCCATAATGTGGGTGAGCCTCATGTCATCAATAAAAGAACTTAGGAGAGACGATCCTATAGATCCTGCTTCTCTGACTAATACAAATGACTACTACAAATGAAGTCTGGAAAATCTTTGACCAAACCTCTAATGTATTTTTGTATCAGAAAAAGAAACTGAATACTTTTGGGACCATCAGCTTCAATGCTCCATCTGGGCATTATTTCTTGCCAATGTAAACTCTATGGGGCCTAAGGAAAGTGTCCTAAAAGTTTGGTAGTACCCATGGTTCACATATCTCTCACCAAATACCATTAGTATCATGACCCAAGAAAAAAAAATCTGACAAACTGAATAATGATCATGTGATTAAATTTGAACTTTCTTCTCTTTAATTGTTTAGCTCAAACATTTCCAAAAGTTCCCCCTACCCAAAACAACTTTGCAAAGTGATCTTTTGGTTCATTCTTGCTAGATGGCTCTGTGTCACAACAACAATGTGAGATAATTTTTCAAAAGAACCTGCAGTTATTCAATTAGACACCTGCTTCCATAGGCTTAAAGTTCAAGCAATGTCTTTGAGCCAAAAGATATAGCTTCTCCACCCAGTTTGATCTCCAGTGGTGTAAGTGTTAGTAGAAATCTCAGGAACTGAATGGGAGGTGACAGGAACTAAGGAGATCATTGCAAACAAAGGAAAACAAATAAAAACAATGGGGGGGAGGGGGGAAGGGTGGGTGGGGAGATCTGGAAGGAGTTTCCTATAGCATGCTCCAAAGGTATTCTAGCTCTTCTCCAAGCAAAGATAGGAGAGTTTATGTGTTTATATAATAAAGGCAGAACATACTATGCATAAGAAAAAAGTAACCTTGGCATAGGATAATCGCCTCCTCAGATTACTGTCCTCACACCAAACCTAACACCAAGGGACTATAGTCCCATCATTGTTTTCAAACACTGGCATTTAAGAGAATTTAAAGTGAAAGCTAAAGCGTCAGGGAGGAGAGTGAGGGGAAGGAGGAGGGATGAAAACTGGGAGTGGAGAGAGCACAGTGGATGATGGAGGAGGACTAGGGGTGCTCTGGTGGTGGAAGAGCCATGGAAATCACATTTGAGGGGAGAAATTTTATACCATCAAAATAATAACAAGGATGCAAAACAATAAAAAAATAAATAAAGTGAAGCACAAAGCTCATTAGCATGACTTACCTTGAAGTGGTCGCTCCTCCTATCAACAATGGAATCTTTATAGCTAACCTCTCCATTTCCTTGGCAACAAAAATCATTTCATCCAGGGAAGGAGTGATGAGTCCTGACAGGCCTATTATATCTATTATTTAAAAAGAGGAAAAAAACAGGGCAGTGAGAAGAAGGATGAGATTTAAAAAGGAGGAAAAGCATGAAGACTCATTTAAAAGGCTTTGTAATAAAGACCACAAGACAACATAAATTTCAACTTTCTAATTTTAAGACATCTTTTCTGATTGGGCGGCGGGGGGGGGGGTTCCAATGTACTATTTGCTTTGGTAGTAAATATGGTTTGTAACAGAGTTGTAATAATGCACTTGAACTATTAAGGGAAGCCATATAAAAGAATATACTGTTATTTCATGAGCTCCCAGACTTGAAAGTATCATTGTCTTAAGAAACAAAGACCAACTGTTATAGAGCAACCCCGATATTAAACGGGTTCCTGGCTGTGGGTCCTCACCCGCGCGCTTTAAAGGGACTTATGAATACTCTACTACAGACACACGCAAAAGGGTTAATAAAAGGTTTATTTACAAGAGAAAAAGAAATAAGGAAATGTACAACTCAGGGAGAAAATAGGGAAATAAAGTCTTTAATGCGTCCTACCCGATCCGACGACCTGGAAACCCAAAGTCACTCTCAGAGCTAGACGGACGCCGCGAGCTGGCCGAGGGCCCCAAAATGGAGAGAGCCCCAAAGCCCACATGTCTGCCTTTTGTATCCACCTGGCTGCTTAACCCCACCCTCAGGTCCCAGCCACCTTCCCTTGGGTGGTGATGGGATGTAGAGTTCCCAGTGTCTTTGGCTTTGGCCTGGGGTGGGGTGGAGTCCACAAAGCCTGTATGGAATTTGCTTTGGGGCAGCCTTTTCCCCCTAACACTGGGGTGGGGGTGGAGTCCACAAAGCCTGTATGGAATTAGCTTTGGGACAGCCTTTTTCCCCTAACACAACTACACACAGAAAGAACCCCAATTCACCACATGTTCTCATACAAGAAGGCTGTCCTGTTCCCCATCTTAAGAGCCATAGAGGAATTCCATGGTTACCTAGTTACCTCTTCTGCTGCCGTATTATAAATGACAATGAAAGCTGCCCTTAGTCAGGAATCAGCACTTGAGTGAATGTCCCAAGAGCCCATAGGGTGGCATTACCATTCACTGACAGGCACTTGGGGAAAATGACATTTACTTTATTTTATTTTTTTATTTTAGTGAAACGCCCAGAGGCACAGTTGCACGGTACCTGCTTTGTGGTCAAGAGCAGCTTTCAGTATCTTATCACAGGGAGTCATGACTCCTAAGTCAATAACTCTGAGACAGAAACGAGATGTGAGAAAATGAATGAGAATCCAATAGAGACAAAGCTGAAATGAACATTTTTACTTAAATAGAATTAAATACTGCACTCCTATAAACTGGAATCACATTGAAACACTCATTAAATATCAACAACCACTACCACGACCATTTATTAGGTACTTACCATACCCAGTTATGCTATTTTAAAAACAGTTTCATTGATACAGAATTCATATACCAAACAATTTATTTAAAGTATACATTTCAATAACTCTTGGTATATTACATTATTATTTTAAGCTCTTGTAAAATAGATGTAATGTGTAATTTGCCATTTTAACCATTTTCAAGTGCACAATACAGTAGTACTATAGTCAGTCACAGTGTGCAACCATAACCATTATTTATTTTCAAAACTATGTCATCACCACAAGCAGAAACTCTATAATCATTCATCAACAAACAATTCCCCCTTTTTTCTTTCCCCAGGTAATACCTATGCTACTTTCTGTCACTGCAAATTTGCTGAATTCTAGAGTGATGTAAGTGGAATCATATATCACTTGTTCCTTTGAGTCTGACTTACTTCACTTAGCATAATGTCCTCAAGTTTCATTCATGTTGTATCATGTGTCAGAACTTCATTCCTTTTAAGGCTGAATAACAGTCTATTGTATGGACATACCACATTTTGTTCTGTCATTCCACTGTTGGAAACTTTGGTTATTTCCAAAATGTTAAGTTTTTGGCATAAGCAATCTCAATTAAACCTCACAGCAACTTGAGATGGAAGCAACTTAATATGGACCCCATTTTAATGAGGAAGGGCTGAGAGCACTGTGTCCAGAGAAGTTACACAACTAATCAGTAGCAGAGCTGGAATCTGAACATGGATCTGACACCAAAATGCGGTCTTAGTCATTTAGGTCCAATAAAAATGCTAGGGAAGTTCACTCAATAACTATCTATTAAATGGTATACATGGAAGCCACTGAAAAAGATAATTAAGAGGAGGTCACTTTCTGCATATGAAAAGGTCAGAATAAGGAAATCTGGTTTCGGAAGTCAAGGAAGAAGGAGCAGCAGCCAAGTCAGGAGAGGTCTGCTGCACCATGTGGGAGCTCCCTGGCCAGGTATCTAACTCTTGCTGCAGTGGCTGTGGATAACTTCATAGTTTGCGTCTTAACCTCTTGCGCCATCAGGGAGGCCCCTAGCATGACTTTAAGTCAGATTAATAGGATGGAAATTGAACTTGTAATCCAGTTGCCTAGCTCACCATTCTCAGATTTTTTTTTTTTTTAACCTCATCTGATCACTGACTGTCTCTCTCTTGTTGATTTCTCCTCTAAACAGGAGAGTGCTCTAAGACTCAGCCCTTGTACCTCTTCTCAGTTTATCTTCGCCTCCGCCTCCTAGGTTAGTACCTATCAAACTGTGATATGCCTTGTGATCAGCTGGATAACCTGATTGTTAAAAGTTAGACCTGATTAAAGTAGGTCTGGACCTGAGGTTCTATATGTCTGATGAGCCTCTAGGTAGTGTTGGCACTGCTAGTGCAGAGGTATATTTAGGGTAACAAGGCCCTATTGCAGGCTTATAGCATTCAGTCTTACGACTATTAATACCATCTAACATGTTGATAAGTCCCAAGTTTTATCTCTACTGTGAATCTCTCAATTGAACTCCAGATATATCCAGTTGACTATGTGTCGGCTCCTTTGGCTATCTAAAGAAATCTGAAACTTAATTGTGGCAGGCCGCGCCTCCCATGCTGTCTCTTGACAAGGTCCGGGCATTGGGGGAGACTCCCGAGAAGCGGAGAGTTCCTGTGCTCCCCCCAAGAGGGAAAGTTGTACTTCCCAGAAGAAGGAAGTTCTTGCACTTCCCAAAGAAGATCTGAACTAGGGAGTCTCCATGGCAACGCCTGCTAATGCTCTCCTCTTTGTTCTTGGTTAATGCTGAAGTAAGTTAGTTATTAACTGGCATGTGAAAACCTAATTCGGACCCAGGTGACAATTGGCTTACTGTTCTTACACATGAACTATCACAAAAGAAGTAAAAAGTTGTTTAAGGTATAGTTAGGAAAGAAATGTTTTGGCCCTAGAACTAAGGAGAACAAGCTGCCCTGAACCAGCTGGGCTTAGAAACCATAGCCTTACCTGGGGGGTACCTGTTTGTGGCAACAATACATTTCTGGTGTATGAGGTCAATAATTTGCAGGCCGTGTGGAGGTTAGGAATTTCTAGTTAAGAGTTAGACTTCAGTAGAACTTACGTAGATCTGATGAATTGTTTTAACCCACTTTGAAGTAATTAATGTATTAACCAAGTTAATTGAGTGCTAGGAAATACTGATTTTAGTAATTGGATACAGAATAGGAATTTTACACCCATGCTTGTAATTGGGAAAGTTTAAATGTTGCCAAATATTATGCTGTTGATCATGCTAGTAAATGAGCTGTACCTAGGAAACTAATTGTTCTTAGGTTACCAAAAAATGGCCTACAGGTATAAGGCCAAGGGAGTCTTTACATGATCATGAGAAAATATGTATTGTCTTTGCTCTGCTTCAATGCTTATGCTGATGTAATCCCAAGCTCGCCTTAAGGTATAAATAAAGACCCACTGAGACCCTCAGGAGGAGATACTTGCACCAGAGAGAGTGTCTGTGTCTACCTCACTTCTACCTCACTCCACTTCCCCTCAGCCCTCCGAAAAAATTTCACCGACTCCGTCCTCTCCTTTCTGAGATCCCTGACACGACTTCTAACTGGAGCTGGTCTCCAGCACTTAATATTTTGGAAATTGAACTAATTGTCACAATCTTATAGACACCTCCCCAAAACTCCATATTTCCAAAAATAGCACGCTAATTTTCTTGTTGCTTAGACCAACTTCCTTGAGTCTCTCTCACACTCCACATGCAATCCATCAACAACTGCCATGAGTTCTACTTTCACAGTTTTTCCAGAATCTGCTCACTTCTGTTGCTTCCACTCTGGCCTATCCATTATCAATTGATGCCTGGATTTTTGGAGCAGCCTACCTGCTATCTCTGTTTCCTCTAGTCTTCTAGAAAGCTGAATGAACCTGTTAAACATAAGTCAGATTTCTCACTCCATTGTTCAAAGCCTTCAGTGACTCCTCACTCAGTTAAACTTGTAAACCCTTGCAATGTCACAACCTTGGAGCATTTAAAAAACACCAGGGCTTGGACCCCACCCACGATCAGTGAAATCACCACCTCTGGAGAAAGGAGTCCAAGCTTTGGTGTTGTTTGTTTGATTTTGAGAAAAGCTCCTCTGATGATTCTGATGGGTAATCCTACAGACTCTGGCCTTTCTTCCCTCTCTGATCTTAAAGCTTACAACTTTCTCTGCCCCCCATTTCTGGCCTGCCACAGGGTCTCTTTGCTCTTGCCCAAACAAGGCAAGCATGCATAAGATGTTCCTGACAAAACACTGCTTAAAACAGGAAAAAGGAATGAGAGCAAAATGATACTTGATACTGAGGACTTTTTGACTGAATTTTTAAAATATATACAATGTTGAAAAACAGTCAGCTTTGAAATGTAAGCCTTTTTATCAGGATTTAAAAGCAATATGTTATTTTGCTTAGCTTTATATGCAACACTCTATACTTAGTCATAGTTTAATAAAAGCTCCGTTACCAGACTTTTTCAATATGCTAAAAAAAAAAAAAAAGTACCATCTCACTCCTGTTACAACCTGCAGTGCTACTTCATTAAACCTGCAACATTTGTTTTTTTTTTTTTGCTAACAAGGTTGTATATAGTTATCATTGATTTGAAATTGTCTTGCTTCTATTGAGAATTCCCTGTGTGCTAGTTGGTTTTAAATTTGTTTTTTAATTAATATGGGAACAGCCAAAAAATCCAATGACATAAATGGGTATATAGTGAGAAGCAAGTCTCCTTCTGCCTCGGGCGTCTAGTACCACTGTTACCAGTTATAGTTTATGAGGCAGTAGTTCTTAAGCTTTGATATTTTTTATTAAGAGATATTGTTGTCTATTTAACTTAAGAATTGTTGACATAAGAAGTGAAAATGTACACTGCAGTTTTTGAGACAAGTACTTATGATAAAATTAAGTTATAAAAATGATTGACATTATGGGTTCCAGGAAGCTATCTTCTTTATGAATTGGAATTCTCTGGTATTATTCTGTTATTTCAGAACATGCGCCAGTCTTTCTCTGCTTAATGCCCTCCCCTTCTTATTGTGTATGAAGGGTCAGCTTTTAATTTGAGTCTGGGGAGGTGTCTATAAGATTGCGACAATTAGTTCAATTTCCAAAATATTAAGTTTCAGATTTCTTTAGATAGCCAAAGGAGCTATCTAAAGCTCCTTTAGACTATGCTGTCACATAGTCAACTGGATATATCTGGAGTTCAGTTGAGAGATTCACAGTAAAGATAAAACTTGGGACTTATCAACATGTTAGATGGTGTTAATAGTCGTAAGACTGAATGCTATAAGCCTGCAATAGGGCCTTGTTACCCTAAATATACCTCTGCACTAGCAGTGCCAACACTACCTAGGGGCTCATCAGACATATAGAACCTCAGGTCCAGACCTACTTTAATCAGGTCTGACTTTTAACAATCAGGTTATCCAGCTGATCACAAGGCATACCACAGTTTGATAGGTACTAACCTAGGAGGCGAAGATAAACTGAGAAGAGGTACAAGGGCTGAGTCTTAGAGCACTCTCCTGTTTAGAGGAGAAATCAGCAAGAGAGAGACAGTCAGTGATCAGATGAGGTTAAAAAAAAAAAAAATCTGAGAATGGTGAGCTAGGCAACTGGATTACAAGTTCAATTTCCATCCTATTAATCTGACTTAAAGTCATGCTAGGGGCCTCCCTGGTGGTGCAAGGGGTTAAGACGCAAGCTATGAAGCTATCCACAGCCACTGCAGCAAGAGTTGGATCCCTGGCCAGGGAGCTCCCACATGACACATGGTGCAGCAGACCTCTCCTGACTTGCCCGCTGCTCCCCTCAGCAGTGTATTTCAGTCACTCTGCCTGTTCTGTTCCCCACTCTGT